CTTTGAAGCAGAGAAAGTATAGTATTATAGCATAGTGTAGTAAACTCCTACTTGCACTTAGTTAACCAAGCTTCCTAATGCAAGGAACTTGCTTTTAGAGTCACAAAAGATGGTTTGCTACCGTTTGCAAGCAGGATTGATACAGTGAAGCATCCTTAGTGAAGTATTATTGCTAAATGTAAGCAAATCTTACTTGCACTTAATTAAAACTGTCTTCTAACGCAGTGAACTTTCTACTTAATTTACAATCATTGGCAGCTTGGAAACTGGTTTCATACGTCGAAGTAGCAGCAGGTGTTAGGCTGCGAACTGAAGTGAAAACCTAGTTGCACTCGATCGAAACAATATCAAAATAAAGAGAACTGGTTCTTAGATTCATGCGTAATGTTTTAACCATTAGTGCAAACAGGTTTCACAAAGTTAAGCGACAAAGTGTAATTAAACTGCACACTGGCATTGAAACCCGCTTCCGCTTGTTTGGGAAAATGTGTCAATTAAGAAAATCGTTACTAGAGTTATGGGCAATGACTGACCCTCACTTGCAACCTGGTTTCATACGTTGAAGTAGCAACAGTTGGAATTTAGCTGCGAACTGAAATAAAAACCTAGTTGCACTCGATCCAAACGATTCTAAAATGAAAAAAAGAATAAAATCCCACTTGCGCGTCGCCAACAAACCTTTTTAATAGACGAAAATTGCTAATAGAGTCACTAGTGATAATTTGCTTGCGTTTGCAACCAGGATTCCCTAGTAACACAAGACTGTCGCACATAGTGTGATTTTTATCTGTCGTCCAATTATTGTGACGATAACGAAAATCCAAAAGTGATGGCTTTTCCATAGTCAGACGATTGTCGCTGGTCTATCAAATTTAAACAGTGACGCAGCCCAAGGAGGGTTTTATTGCAACGTGCAACAAAATCCCACTTGCGCGTCGTCAACAAACCTTTCTAATAGACGAAAATTGCTAATAGAGTCACTAGTAACAATTTGCTTGCGTTTGCAACCAGGATTATTACAGTAAAGCAGCAAAATATGAGTAATGTTGCAAAATTTTATAAAACCCTGATTGCAATTAATCAAAAGAGTATCTTAATATATGCATTTTGCTTTCAGGGTCTCGAATAAATGGTTTGCTACCGTATGCAAGCAGGATTAATACAGTAACGCAGCCCAAGGAGGGTTTTATTGCAACGTGAAATATAATCCCACTTGCCCGTCGTCAACAAACCTTTCCATTAGACGAAAATTGCTAATAGAGTCACTAGTAATAATTTGCTTGCGTTTGCAACCATGATTATTACAGTAAAGCAGCGAAATATGAGTAATGTTGCAAAATGTTATAAAACCCTGATTGCTATTAATAAAAAAAATATCCTTCCATAAGCATCTTGCTTTCAGGCTCTCAAATAATGGTTCGCTACCGTATGCAAGCAGGATTGATACAGTGACGCAGCGCCAGAAGGGTTTTATTGCAACGGGCAATAAAATCCCACTTGCGCGTCGGCAACAATCCTTTCTTGTAGACGAAAATTGATAATAGAGTCACTAGTTATAATTTGCTACCGTTTGCAAGCAGGGTTGATACAGTGACGCAGCTTAAGTATAGTGTTGAAAAGTGGGATGTTATCCCACAGGCTTCATTTAGGATAACGTCCAGAGGTGCCCCCGTGCGGAGGTTCCCCCCCTGAATAAATTATGAAAATATTCGTTTCTGTGCTGTTGCGTTGGGAATGTATATATGTGGGTATTCGATGCCATTCGAGTACTTTGACAAATGCACTGGTATATTTCATTATATGAGTTGTATATTTCAAAATATACGCTGAATATTCCAGGTACGAGGCTGAATATTTCAAAATATGCAATTGTATACTTTATTTTTATTGAGTCAATTTTTCATAGACCTTGTCGTCTTCTTCAAAATATCCGTTGAAATTTCCATCTACGCAGCTGAATATTTCAAAATATACATTGTATATTTCAAGAAGCCAGTCGTTTATCTAATTTTATTTCATTTACGCATGCTGATTATCTGCGGGGTTGATTTCCTAGAAATACAAGTCATCGTTGTGTATCATACAGTAGATTATCGGAGAAATACGTCGATTAATATTATGGTTTTCTTGCATTTTGCTTTGCTATTGCTTTGACAGTACCGCGCGTGAATTTCTCATATTGCCTCTGTAACATGATGCACCCTTGTGTATACCAATCTGGATACGAATGTGCTGTCCTCCCCACCACTCCAACGAGAGTAGTCGCTCGCTGGTCAGGAGGTCGCGTCTGCTGTCCGCTTGTTTACCTCATCGCATTATATTCTATTTACCTCGTTTTCCATTCCTTTTTTTTAATGTTTCCGAGAATTATTTGTTCTCTAATACTTTACGTGGTTACTTATAATTCAAAGTTTCCTCTTGACTTGATCGAGACAAGTGTATGTGTGTGATAAGCCTGTTGTTACAAGCACGAGCCTATCAAGAATTGAGGTTATAAGATGTCTCTTGCTGCACAGTTGTAACTTTTGAAAGGAACCTCATTTTTACGCTACAGCTATGAAAGCAGCCTTTGTAAAGTCCGCTGTAAATGCATTTTATCAGTCTATTTCCCATCAGGGTCCTTACTGCGGGACAAGTGATGGTAATGTTTCGCACCCAATTAAGGTATGCTGTCGATGGGTCCATTGTGATCGTCAGAGTCAGATTGGCAAAAGCGTATACATATGTGACGAGACCGCTCTATCAAAATTACAGTTAGCTTTTGATAAAGTACCTGAATTGAAAAGAGGTGTGGCGTGGCCTGTGGTGAAGCATAGTTGTGATTATTCTGCTGTGGAATGGCTTCTATACAGTGGTGAAGATGCACATGAACTTACTTACGGACATATTAAGAACTGGTCAGTATGTTATGGCTGTAGATATGTTTTCTTACACTCTGCCTTAAATGCCTGTTTTTAAAGTACCATAGTTGTCTTGCAGGTTACTTGTGCCGGAAGACTTTAAGGAAATCATGGATTATGTGGTGAAATTACATAATTTGAAGTTAGTAAGAGTTATTGCCAATGTGTACGAGGGTTACAGATCCACATCAGAAGAGGAATCGGTGTGTTTGAAGACGGATGTCTCAGTGTCGATGGTAATTATTAGAACTGAAATTATATGATGATCTGTAGTGAGTACTGTTAAGTGAGTGGTCGGGTAGAATTCGGAATGATTACCTCAACCTGGGTGAAACGGTTTGTATACAACTCACTAAGAAATTTTATTACAACTTATAGACTTTTATAAAATTGAATATGATTGTGTACACCGTAATATAACGATATAAAGGGTGTTTTACAAATGTGTATAACATTTGGTAAAACTTAATACAATTATATAAAGAGGCATGTATACGTTTTTATAAAATCTTATACAATGCATATACAATAATCGTGCCATATATAAAGCGACGTATATTAGAGCATCGTTGTACCTCACGCATGTATACAGCCACTTACATGTGAATAAATGCCACCTTGCCCTACATTAGAATGTATACAGGCACATACACTCATACAGTGACTAGTAACGTTTCTGGGCACTGTGTGGTTGAGTTCTAAAATGCAGCATAATTTGTAAACGGCTACACATAGGGAAGTGAAACAACCACTATCGTGCTCAGGGCAAAAAGATGATTTGGAAAACATATTCGATGGAAACGACAGCCACCCACTCAGGCCGCTTCTCCCTTTATACAGCTTTATACAATTACTTGTATATCTCTGTATACAAACTTACTGTCAATGTTTTTTCACCCGGGAATTGAGGTACTTGCTGCAGGTAATTGTTCATCCTGGTGACCTTCTCATATCATTACCAAACAAAGTAAATCTGAGCGAAGGCAAAACTGCCGAG